GAGTTTTTCCTGTGAAGCTCAACTGCCCTATGTCTGCAGGAAACCATTAAATGACACAGTGGAGTCAACAGGTATCTTTCTCCTTTCCTCATACAAATAGGTCTTAAAATCTTGGTTTTGTGATATCAAGTAAATCCATTTCAGAGATCTATTTCCACGTTTCCTTCACCCGATCCGGCCAGTGCAGAAAAGTACTTGATTTTTGACCCTGTGGTAAGATATTATCAACTATACATGAGTAAAGGTTTGGTTGAGGCAATGAAGAATATCAGGTAAAAATATGTATATGCCCAGAAGAATGCAGAGATATTCTATATAGGAAATATATTTCTGTTCATGGGTGGCTCTTTTGCCTCTACAGCAGCGGTTCTCTAAGAGTGGTCCCCAGGCCAAGAGCATTAACATCACCTGTACCTGTTAGAAATGCAAATTCTCAGGACCCACCCCAGGTTTACTGAATCAGAAACTCTAGGGGTGGGGCCCAGCAATCTGTGTTTTAAGCAGCCCTCTAGGTGATTCTGATGCATGCTCAAGTCTGAGAACCACTGCTGTACTGACAGGTTCATGTATTTCATGCCTCTGTGCTGAGTCAGACACTGTGGACACAGGAGTAGTCCCAGGTTTTTCCAGCCCCTGCTCCACAACTCCTGGCCCTCTTCTATCCTTCTTTTTGCTAGGCAGGTCTTTGCATTGAAAAATCAGGTAAAAAAGGAGAGGTGCAGAAGGACAAAATGTATACACAAAGGGTTTTTTCCAGGGAATTTTGGTGTGAGAGGCACACAAGAACAGCTGAAGTTTTGAGGAACGAAGAAGTTTGAGGAGTTTTGGAAGAATGGAAAAGAGGAACGCCTTGACTTTTCAAGCATAGGTCCTGATGTAGACTGGGTATTTGATTAAATTCTCACTGAATGAGAAAAACTAATTTTAAATGTCCTGCTTTAAGGAACTATGGGAGAAGAGAATAAAGCATCTAAATTTCTATTCAAAAGGGAACATAAAGCAATTTTTTAAGAAAAAAATAGGTATATAGAAGAAGGAATGTAGGAGGATGTTTTAAGATAATAGGAGGAAATGGACATTTATCATCCGAGTTGATTCAAACCAAATTTAGTCCACTCAACAAAAGGAATAATAGAAAAGCCAGCACAAATGAAAATAAACTAGAGCGACTGATGATAGATTAAGTAAATATCTCACAGTGGCAATTCTTAAGTAAATCATGATGTTTCTACACGATTGAATAATATGCAGTTATTAAAATAACTGTGCCAGCAGGAAAATATAAAGAGCAAAACAAAATGATATGCCTACTTATCATTTTAATCTTGTAAAAATATGTATTCATCGAAACAAAGACTAGAATATGAAAATGATTGTATTAAGTTCCATTATGGATGATATTTTTCCTCTGTTCCTTTATCATAATTATGAATTATAATAATAATAAGTGCTAGTTCAGAAACTTAAAGTTAATTGAGTTATCTTGCAAGTGAGAGAGGCTAGCTAAACCTGAATTTTATCCTTCAGTAAAAAATAAACTGTCCACTTTTTCAAGATGCTGTGTTTTCTTCTAACAAATATTCTAAGTGGTTCTGAATCAGTGAAGTCTGAATAACCAAATCACTTTCCAGTTTTGTTGACAGGGGTAGAGGTATTTTATATGGTTTTACACATCACTCTTTTTCTCTAATCTAGAGAGATGAGACTTTCACTTGTGAGTTTCATCACGGTCAAAACAAAGAATCCCTAATTCCATAAGGACTACCTGTCGAGCAGAGGGGAGAAAAGAAGAGGTCCAGAGATGTCCTTTGCCCTTTCCCTCCCCTTCTGCCATCTCTTGGGTGTGGGGTATACAAATGTCTTATTCTGTTCCTTAAATCTCTGCCTGTCCTTTGTTCGACAGTGAGCATGAATGCACATCCCCTTGCTAAGCTGACCATACAAGAAAAGGAGGCTTGACCTCATTATAATCTTCTCAAAGCAGAAACTAGAGGGAAACCTAACAAATCCCATACCCAGGAAAAGACTTGTCAGCAACCGGCTTACCTCACGTCTTTCTTCTGTCTAACTTGGATTAAGGGCAGTCTCTTCACTGATTGCGTCTACACCCCTTAAATAGTCTGTGCCCAGCCATGTAGCACATTTGTGTCATGTTAAAATCACATCATTATCTGAATCCCTGCAGGAATTCTTCCGATGCCATGGATACATCATTTATGTGGTAGGCACCACATAAATTCATGTCACTATAGTATCTGATGTCACATTCCCCAGTTTTCCAGAAGCCTTATTATTCAAGAAAGAAGAATTTACAGTGTTATTGATTCAAAATAGATGTATCTTTACTGGAATATAAATAGCTGCTTTTCCCCCAGATGTTTGGACATATTCAGACACCCGCTGTGATGCAGGCTGGCTGCCAAATAATGGATTTTGCTATCTGCTGGTAAATAACAGTGATTCCTGGGATGAGGCACATATGAAATGCAAAGCCTTCAGTAGTGACCTACTCAGCATTCATTCTCTAGCAGATGTGGAGGTGGTTGTCACAAAACTGCATAATGGGGGTAAGTTTTTAAAAATACACTATATGAGAGGTTTAAGACATTTGAAATATCCCTATTTTCAGACTTTTAGTGGGAATGAAAAGCTCACAGTGTGATCCTATAAATCAGCACTGTCCAGTAGGATTTCCTGTGGTGACAGAACTGTTCTACAACCTGCACCATCCAATATAGCAGCCACTAGCCACGTGTGGCTTCTGAGCACCTGAAATGTAGCTAGGGCAACCGGGGAACCAAATTATTACTTTGATTTAATTTTAGTTAATTTACATTTTGATTTAAATGGCCACATGTGCCAAGTGGCTACCAATTTGACAGTACAACCATCAATTGAATAATCTTCCTCTTCTTGTGAGCTAAATTCTACTTAAGTTGCTCCAGAAATTTAC